TCACACATCCTGGTACTTTGCATGTCCTCCAAAAGGTCACACATCCTGGTACTTTGCATGTCCTCCAAAAGATCACACATCCTGGTACTTTGCATGTCCTCCAAACGGATACACATCCTGGTATTTTGCATGTCCTCCAAAAGGTCACACATCCTGGTACTTTGCATGTCCTCCAAAAGGTCACGCATTCTGGTACTTTGCATGACCTCCAAAAGGTCACACATCCTGGTCTCTGTAGGGTCTCGCATTCTGGTATTGTCAAGAGTGGGAGGTATGTACGGTAAATGAGACCAGTTTTGACACTCTCTAACAGATGAAGATGCCATTTTAGACCGTATTTGAGACAGATTTAGTCTCTTGGGTACCACAAAAACCAGAAATGAGACCATCAATTCGAGCAATCTGATTGGACAACCGTGTGAAGCCTTTGCAGCATACAATGGTTTCCATTCAGACTGCATGAATTGGTGGTCTTTAAAGCTGGTCTCAAAACACGTCTCATTTCTGGTCTTCCTGGCATTCAAGAGTCTCTAAATCCGCCTCAAATACAGTCTCAAATGACATCTTTATCTGTTAATCACAGAACTGGTCTCATTTGCCGTTTAGAGGGTACCATACATGCCTCAGAGTTGGGTACAAATTCACATTTTTTCTGAAGTTATGATAGTTGTTTTATCATTGTTTTATTTGCCAAATCCCACCTTTGAAATAGACTACAGCATATTAAATTTTACTGCTGGAGATGATAAAGCAAGACATGATTGTTTCAAATTTGTTTCATGTTGTATGGTGTATTTTTTTTTTTTCATAAATAATATTTTGAATTGTAATCGCCACATTTATTTGTGGTGCTATATCATTCCTGAAATTTTTTCAGATGCCTGTTCTGATATTTGGACAAAGGAAAAAATATCCTTTTCAAGAAATCATGACAACAGGTTGATTGGGGGAAAAAAAAATATTGTTTGACTGTAATTTTTTTGTCAGTCATTAAGTGACCTTTAAATTCTGATGTGTGAATTCATAGCGATTGAGGACGCATATCAGTTACTGTGTTTATTAAAAATCGAAGGTAACCCTGTATGTCAGTGCTTTTAAGGAATATAATGATACTTCATTTCGGAGCAGATAAAGATTAGTTGCCATGGCAATATATCTTATCTTCATCGCTTGTTTTCTACTGGGTTCCGGGGTTGATGTTATGTACCTTACAATATTACGTTGAATGAATTCTGAGAAAATGACAAACTATTTATTTTTTTTCTTTAACTGATGTGTGACAGTTCTGCGACTTGTGTGTTAAGTTAATTTCCTTGAAGGAATACAGTAGTCTGTTGGGACCTGTTTGTTTGGTTCGAGGGCTGAAATTGAATAGTATTGGGAATAGATACTAGCTGCTGTGTTGTCATGGCAACCAAGTCTTTTGCACGTCAATGATTGTTTGGCAAAATGATTGTGTGTGTAAGAGATGGGTTCATTTAAATAGTATTGCAAATAAATTGGTTAACAACTTATTATAGATTTGTGGGCAGTCTTTTGTGCAACTTTATTTGCTCAGTTAGAATCGCATCTTTAATTTAAAACTCAAATAAATCAAAAATTGCGTTTATTGTATACTTATTAGCGTTCACGCACGGCTCCTTAGCACGGGTAAGAAAACGTGCGTGAACGCTTTAATAGCACGGGCTAAGAAATGCTAATTATGAATTAAATCTGGCCTGTTTTTAAGACCCGGTTCTGATCCTTGGCATGGACTAACGAAGTGTGCATGAACGCTTAGCTTGGCCTAAGTGCCCAAAACGGCATTTTATTCAATGTTCATTTGAAAGATTTACTATTATATTCATAACTATTCATTTCAATATGCTGTTTCCTACATAACTACCAATGTGAACACAGATTGTTCCCGAGAAAAAATTTACTGATAAGAAATATGGTACTTCCCATTATTCTTCAATCTGCACTTTGTGAATTTGCTTTGATATAGTTTTATAACAATAGAAATAACATGTGTTACAATGTATTGTACTGAGTAATCATAGTTAAAATGACTGAAGATTGTTGTATATCCTTACAAAGTTTGGGTGTTCCTTAGATCGGGGGGGGGGGGGGTAAGTGACATTTCATCTTGTGAAGATGAAGAAAATGAAAAATTGATGTAGAAAATTTTGTCAGTATACCATTGTTTTCTGTAGCAAAAATGCATCTCAAAAGTCAACTTTGTGAAAACATAATTATATAGAACCTTAAAAGGTACTTTTTGATATCAATAATATTGTGTCCTCAATATGGTTTTCCGTGTTTTAGAGTTTTTAGTCCCCGTTCGGACGAAGTCCGAAAATGGGGACTTATAATTCGGTCTCCGTGTGTCCGTGCGTTCGTCCGTCCGGAGTCATATCTCAGAATCCCTTGGACCGATTCCGTTCATTC